AGATATTGCAGATAACTGAATAACACGTGAGATTATTATGTCTAACCATGATCATATGGAAGAAAGACTCCTAGAGTAACTACTATAAAGCCAGAAGAGTCATGGCACTCCCTCATGTTCCACAAATATGAGCATCCTTTAAGATGATTAAGGTTTTCCTGTCTATTTACTTTTTAGCTGATTCTGCAGCAATGCTGTTTTTTAGCTCTCTTCCACAAGGAAGCCTATTCCTTCTCTATTAAATGATTAAAGATGACCCAGAGGCTAGTCTTTTTCACAAGTACACTGCTTTGCCTGTTATGGTTAGACACCTTGTTCTGAGCACTTGCACTTCTGAAACCTACAGAGGTAGAAGCAAGAGTGGAAAATGAATCCACAGTAAGCTGGCCAAAAGTAAAAGAGGAGAAGAAGTTACCTATGGAAAGCCCCCCCTCCCCCCCAAAAAATAATAATCCAAGTAGCATCAAAGGATTACTTGAGAATGGTGTGTAAAACACAGAGTGTAAAGAAAGGCTAAATGTACTGAGGTCTAGAAATATATAAAAGAGGAGTTCTGCCTTTCATAATTTCCTTGTTACACTACTGTTATTTTTGAAGTCTAATCTGTTTAGCAGAAGTCACCATAAAATTCATGTCTCCAACCTAGATGGAAAGTTTCCCATAGCATAATCAGGGAGATCAGGGATGCAGTGGTATGCCATTGGAGAGGTTTTCAGTATAAATCATATTTTATCCCACCTAAAATGCAAGCATGCAACTACAAAGTCTGTAAGCTAAACAAGCTATCAGCATGGTCCTGGTCTGTGGATGGCTCAGGACAAACACTTAGACAAAATAAAATCAGTTCAACTAAATTGGCAACAGCTGATTGCAAACAGACTGCATATTCTGAATTTGCACAATACAAGCATGAACTTGTAAGATAAAGACAATGAAATATAAAAAAAAAGAAAAGCAGTTACAGTAACAATCTTGAAAACTGCACTAAAGGCACTGTAACTTATACACCCACTCCTGATATGCCTAATTGGTATTGTTGATCTGTACAGCTTACTTACATGGATATCCAAATGTGTCTGACCACAGAACCACAGACAGCAGAGGTGTCACTGCCCAGCAATTTGTCAAGATATAGCAAGGAAAAATTCTGTGTCATTTGGATAATAATAATTCAAATAATCATTATCATTCCAGACAACTCAGTCTGTTGCCTCAGGCATCTGAGCAATTTCATGCGGTCATCTCAGCCCTGTAAAGTAAAGAAAAGCATTCTGTGAACTTAACAGGACTTACAAGGAAAAAAAGTGTGCAAACGAGTGATTTGGATTCCAGATATTCCAAATTTTCTATACATTTTCAGGATATATAGGGGTTTTATATGGATGACCTTATAGTCATTACCCTTACGATTTGTAAGAGGTAATAACCTTGCTGGAGATCCCATAAACACAGCCAGGTAATTATAGAAGGTTCTGTCTGAAAAGAACCAAGAAGAAAGACAAAGAAGGAAACAGAGTCACTTCGCATGTTTCATCTTTCTAAGCTTACCAGGACAAGATTATAAGTTAAAAGGGAGGGCAGGAGGAAAGAAAAGAAACATAGTGACAAAGGTCACCAGAAGCACAGACACAAGGACAGTCAGAAAAAAAAAAAAAAGCATGTTTCTAGAGATGCTTAGCAGCATCTCTGAGCAGGAGGTAACTGCCAGAGGATAAAAAGAACAAACTAGATGCCAAGACAGAAAGCACTCATGGAGCACCAGCCACCTTGGTCAATATAGTTGTAAATCTCCCGAAGATCCTGGGAGAAAAAAAAACCTCACCCAGCTTTCTATTTCTTGAGATGATAATCTTCCCATGATATACATTTTCACTATACTTCATAAAGAAGAAGAAATGCAACCACTCATAAAGGTTGCTAGACAAACAGAGAATTAGCTGAGCTTGCTTTAAAACACACATGCAAATGTATGCCAATGAACAAACAAATATATATATATATATAAAATAGGCCAATTAAATTTCTTTCTCTAGTATGGTCAGTTAAAATTAATTCTGACACATGAGGCAGCCTGAAGCCAGATGGTTTATCCTTGCTGTGCTTTGAAGTGAGAATTTAGAAAGCAATGTCTTCATCAGGCTGACCATGATCTAACTAAACACATGGCTTTTTATTGAGGGAGACCTACCTATTATGGGGTTCTTGTCATGGGAGTCATATATTAGACAAAACAATAGTCTGACTTCTATAGAAGCAGAAACAGGAAAATGGAAAGCTGTGCTATGTTGAGTTTTGGCAGCAGGGAATTATTAGCAAATCAAAAAAATCAGTTAACTTTCATTTAGAAATAATTTGTATTGAGCAGTTATGAGTCTGGCATGAGCATTACAGTTTAACAGCTTAATTTATGGCATTTGACCATAAACTTTGCCAAAGTTTGTGTTACCCACATAAACACTTAAGGTCTCAAAATATTTCCAGATATAGTCTTCTGGCAATTTCTTTTAAAAGGAACCCACTACTGAATTTTTAATACTTTCTTGATTTATATAAAATAGCATTTGTTACACTGGAACTGCTATTGCAACTATCTTGGCTGACAAATGAAAGCAATATACTTCTTACAGTACCACAGCATGGTAGAGGTGGGAAGCAAACTCTAGAGATTATGTAGTCCAACCCACCTGCTCAGAGTTATTCAGGGCCATCTCCAGTCAGACTTTTAATATTTTCATGGATGGTGACTCCACAATCTCCCTGGGCAACCTGTGTTTGATCACCCTCATGGTAAAAAAGGTGTTTTCCTGTGTTTAAATGCTGGCAGGGTGTTAGGCAGAACTGAGGGTGCTCAAACTGGAGCTACCAACAGCAGCTGTCCCAGCATCTGAAATGGAATCAGCATGCATTAGAAATGGCGATGCCCTCACACACAGCGTGACCTTGTAAGGTCAAGAACTAGAACCTGCCAAAAACAGATTCAGTCAACCTTGACCAAAAAAAAAAAAAAAAAAACAACAAAACAAAACACCCCAAAAACAAAACCCATGAGCAATATATTCTGAGGTAGAGTGGTGACTAACCACCTGGACCAAGGGAGAAGGGTAGCCTCACAACTATTGTGCAGCATATCCGGGAGAAGGTGGGGCAGAGGGAGAGCTGCAGGAGAAGGGAGTGAAGAGGGAAGGCAGCAGGAAAGGGTGATGACATAGTTTCATAGAATTGATTTATGAATCACTGACTTTGTGAAGTTAATTCTATATTCAACTTTCCCTCTGCTGCTCCCCCACTCCTAATAAAGTTGTCTCTGTTCTAAACCCTTGAAGTCATTGTTTGTTATTAGGGAAGTATTGCTCATGAGGCACACACAATGTTCATTTAATTTCCCAGCTTTCCCAGGAGACTCCTGTGTGTATTATTTAAGGGGTGTTTTCAAAGGAACATAGGCATACTGGCCATCTTTACTACCACAGCACCTCCACCTAGACAGCTTAATACATCAGTCAACATTTGCAAGTCATCAGTTAATCAACAGTGAGGAAAGGTAAATTGACATAAATATCCTATTCTAACTGAATAATTTCATTAGCTTTGCTCTAATACAAATAGACGCCCTCAGAGATGTACATTTTCACTGAAGACTGGCAGTAAAAGTGTTAACTGCATGAAAAGAAAGCGATAGAATTATGAAACCACACAGACAGGTAAAATTTTCCCAAAGGCTGCGTGGGAGACTGCATAGTGGGAGAGTGTGTAGTGAGATCAGGCATAATTTGGCTACTGTGTGTGCTACCGTATGTGAAAGGAAGTAAGTCTCCAAATGGTGGATTTAACATGACTCTCCACAGCCACATCACAAAGCGCCTGGGAGTGACTTGTCCCTCCCAACCCCTGTGGGAATCAATCTGAGGAAGCTTGATGCTATAGAGATGTTTCCTGTATATTGTGTGGGAAACTCAACTAAGTGCAAACTACCGGCAACAATGAGACAATAAATTATAATAAACAGGAAAAATAGCATTGGCTCCTGAAATCAATGGCTGGAGTTCATGAGACTTTCACAGCATTGATAAATGAATAAATATAACAAAAAGCATTGGGTTTTAAAAGAATGGGGTTTTATCTGCACTGAAAGTCTCATTTTCTGCTAACTAAATACATGCAAAAAATAAACACCACTAAAAGACTTTGGCTGAGATTTTCAGCCCTGGAAAGGTGATTTAGACAGCTGCACAAAACTCCAGATTCTGATTCCTTTGCTTGGCCCTGAAAACAGGAGCACAGTCTGAACAAACAGCCACCTTCTAGCAAACCCATTGCATCATCTATTCCTGTCTGCTACTCAGCCTCCATGAAATGATCCCATCTGAAACATGAGCCAGCCCCCTCCTTCTGAAAAGTTACAAAAAATAGCAACAAAAACTGAGAAAAAAAAACTACTGGAAGAAACCTGCTGTCCAGTGAAGAAGAGCTGGAACACTCTGAGGATCAATTACTGTTCAACTTGGAACATATCTTACTGAATTCAATGAAGTGATCAGTAAGAGCTGAAATGGGTGGGAGTAAAGAGTATTCAGTCCTTCAGGGGAGACACTGGAACACCTTGCAAGCACAAGCAAACTGCAGCATTAAGCAGTTTTCATTTACTGCCCTTGTGATATTCAGGCTTTGCAAAAGAGCTTAAGAAAACACTTAACTTCAGTTTAGGAGAGCAGTCCCACCAGAGACAAAATTAAGTCCAGTCTCCAGAAAGCTCAGGATCTCATGGTGGCTTGCTCTGAGTGAAAATGCCTAGCTGGGATAAAGCAGCAAGGTTTTGCTTGCATTAGACATCTCTTCAACAGGGAAAGAACTGGCAGAAGCCAACCAAAGATTTTTGAGGGGACATGCGTAAAGTGTGCAGAGTGAAAAGTTACTTTGGGGGAAAAAAAATAGAAAAAAAAAAGCCCCAAACCAACAAAACCAAAACAACCCAGCAGCAGAAGTATATAAACACACTCCAGTTGTTCCCGAGTTAATTTATTTCAATTAGTTTTAGCTGAATCATATATCAGTAGAAGACCATGACACAGAACCAATAATGTGCACAGGTTTTTACAGAATATGCATTTTGAAAAATGGACTGGATGGCTTGTTTTCTAGTACTCCAGAATGACTTGCTGAAGAGAATGTAAGAAAATTGATACACTAGGACCTTTTATTCCAGACAGGAAAACTGCCCAGTGTAATGGAAACTGGCTAACTGACACATGGAAAGCAATGCTAGACAGTAACTTGGCTGTTGAATAGCTTCTTGTGAGAAGGCAGTCAGCACTATGAAGGCACTATGGTCATTTTAATTAATGATTGGAAGGAGGAACACTCATTGTCTCAAATTAAAAAATAATATATAAAAAATGTAGACAATAAATAGTATGAGAGGGTGCATAAAGTTTGATTTCATACAGAGAGGCAGTCTTCAGTGGGAAGAGAAAATAACAGCATTGCTCTTGTCATTGCAGAGTGCTGTGTTCGTATCTGGGTACCTCATCACGGATAAACGCAGCGTACTCTAAGAGAAGCATGGAAAACAGTTAAGAACATGCAAGGAATGGTTTAAAAAATATCAGAGTTAAGTATGCCTAAGCTTGGCTAAGGCTATAGAACACACTAGCAACCCCTAAATATTTGAACAAGTTAAAACTTAGCAACAAGGGAAATAACCAGATTAACAAGATACAGAAAAGTATTTTTATAGAGTGATCCATTAATATCTGGGCTATAAATGATAGAAAGCTTGTCAGCAAGCACATTCAAAGTTAGATTGAACAGTATGCTGATATAAGTACAATAAAGAGCTGTTCTGTGCTAACAGTTCAATCTACTTGATGCCTTCATGTTTTCCACTTCTTTCAAAGCAGATAAACATCAGGATGAACAAAATACATCACCTACCTTTTACCTTATGAATGGTAAAGTTATTAATTTAATACAATATTTCTGAGAATTCCTCATTTTAGCATAAATCTTCACTTGTTCACGATGTATGAATAAATTGCTATAAGAGCTGAAAAGTTGTTGCACTACATGCCAGCTTCATATTAACCATCATCTTAAATAGTTCGTGCATTTATAAATGCTTCTTATATTAAACTATATGAAGCAAATATGGTACCGTCTAAACAACATTCAACTGTAAATACGAAGGCAACCGTTGCGGCTGTGAGACTGAGCAGAAGAGGGCAGCATAGACTAAGAGTAGCTGCAGACATACAAGGTCCAGAAAATACCATGGATTTGAAGGAGGTGGAGAGGGGGGTCTTTAAGACTACATACACGCTGATCTGTCTTACGGGTGATGCTCAGTATATTTGAAACCACAGGAAGTTGTTACCAGCCCTTCATCAAAGAGTCTCCCCAGCCTCTCTCATGGCCAGTCTGTGCTTATAGTCTTTTTCCAAGGTGACCTCACCTGACGTTGCAGCTAATGTTTGCACTGCAAGGATTGCAGCACATACGTACCCCATAGCTCCTCAGGTCACCTTCCTTTTGCACCCCAGGCCTCCCTCACTACCCTCCTCTTCAACATAATGTTTAGCTAAAAATATCTTAGGCAGGATGTACTGGGGTAAAATATGAAAAACTGTTTTCTTGTGTAAAAGGTCAAGAAAAATGTGGACTTAAAAAAAGAAAATAAAAAGTTTATTTGGTGACAGTCTAGTGCAATTGTGCAGTTGCATTTTTTTTATGTGATCCTTCCTTCTGTTCCAAGTCTTTCCACAAACTAAAGACACAAGATCTGGAAAATGTCCCCTCTGGAACGGCACCAAAATCTTACCTCAGGAGCCGTATCCTCATGCCATCTCGTCTACGATATTTTTCCTTTGATGGTCAGGGCCTGATTTTTGCCTACCTTTTGTTTTATCTTCTATAATGCTTTTGGCTCAGAACACAGTCTGTGTCCGGTGGCCTTCAACTCTTTTCTTCCCACTCCCTCTGGCTGGTTTTCGGTCATTTGCAGTTTTCCCTTTATAATATTTTTCTTTTCCTTCTAAAACTGAAGCAAACACAGGTTTTAAGAGAACATTATTTCTACAAAATGTTTTGCAGCCCTCTATCCTAAACTTCATTCTGCTATTATGTTATGCTCTATAGATGTACATGCACAAACATGAACACATACAATGAAAGAGTTTAACATAAACATTTTACTAGGGTTACAGGGTGAAAGTGATCTCAGGCTGACTGCGCATTTTCTATGAACTTAGCTATGTTCAGAAACCATAGAAACAGAAAAAAAAATTATTTGCATTGGTATATCAACTGAAAGATTTGTCATAAACTAGAACCATAGTTCACTAGGACCTTTAAAAGCACATGCAAAGCTAACTATCCCCCTGTTCCAAAACTGAAAAAAACTTAGCATGACAGTGTATTGTGAAGCACACACTGAACTGTTTCCTTGCATTTTTGTAAAGTGTGGATAACTGCACACAGTAAAAGTAAACAGGTCTCTGCTGTCAACCTCATATGCTCTAACTCAGCAGAGGAAACAAGGAAACCCAGAGGCATAAATGAGTAACATAAAAGAAGTTAGCAACACAGGAATAGAGAGAAGCTCTCTCTACTCCAAGACCAGTGTTCACTAAGGCTGGCTGTTTCTTTAAACATTCTATAGTTTAATCTTTTTAGAGATAATTAAAAATAATTACCTTTAGTAGTCACCTTTTACTGGCTGTAGCGTACAGGATAAGGAAAATAGCTTCCTTTTCATTTTTTGTTTTGTTCTGTACCCATCACCACTGTGCACATTCAAATATGAATTAAAAGCAAATTTTAATTTTAACATTGTGAGTTCTTTAGCAATATTGTTCCAGATACTTGGACTGTTAACAAGCATAACTGAGTCTAATCATTCTGCAAAATTCGGACTTACTTAGCAGCATTAAGTTATTCAATATCACTAATGCAAATATACAAAAAATGTATTTTTAAGAAAGGAAGCCCAAAAAGCCAAAACTACAAGCCCGAAAATTTCTGAAAACAGAAGTCTCAGATACACTCTTTTTTTCTTTTACAAAATAATTGAAGATCATTAAAAGTAAAAACAAACAAAAACAAAACAGACACACACAAAAAACAACCAAAACAAAAAAAAACCCACAACCCACACCACCCCCAAAAACAGCAACCAAACTACAGAAGAAGTCCTGACCTTTTATTCTGATTCTTTAGGAGGAAGGAATTCAGCATCAAGGCAACAAAAGTGCCCAGAGCTGTATCTAAAGCAATGATTCATCACTTATTCTTAGGTTCATGAGGAAAGATTGAAAGTCTGAAAATGGCATGTTTGTTAGTCCATTTTTTTCTGCAAAGCTGAAGAAAATCCATGTATATGCACATGTGTCTGTAGGTACACATGTAAAGGAAAAGTGCAAAATAAGTCTGCCACCCTCTTTCCTCTTACATCACCACTGCTGTGATCCAATTTCTCTTGTAGCACATGTAGTAAGTCTGCAGAATCTTGCTAAGTAATAAATGAACAGTACTGGCAATTCAAATTCTGCTGAGAAAAGTACACAGCAGTTTCTGTAAAGTGTTGAAGACTGGCAGAACTCCATTGATCCAAATTATGTGGGAGCCACTGGTTTCAGGATAAAAAGGCCATTTTAAAGTTCAGGTAGAGAGATGTCAGGAAGAGCAAAAATAATTGCCATGGGTATGAAGATGTTCCTCAAACACAGATGGTAAACTTGATGTGATATAGTCTCCACCTCCTCCCCCAGATCCTAAGAAACTTCCTCAAGCACAGCACAGCTGCCAATTTCAGCTACTCCCTGTGAATAAAGCTAAACGTAGTTTACCTATCAATCACCACCTGAAGAAAAGAAGCCTCCTACTACTCAAGGATGTTTGAGCAGATGACATGAGTACCTTCCTAATACCTTCAAAGTTGTCTGGCTGAGCTAGAATTTAGCTAAGGGAAGGATTCTGAGGAAGCATTACACATGCTTCCTTCCCCTTCTCCCCCAAACTATGCTTTGGTCTGAGCTTTAGTTGTTACCGATGTTTTTCTGAGGGTGAGTTACCCTTAAAGACCAAAGGCCTGAGGGCACTATCTAGAAGTGGTAGATTATGAGATCCTGGACTCTTCCACTACGGAAAGAGTCTGAAGAAGTAAATGACCTCAGGTAAGCATTTTGCATTTCCTGTTACTGCATGAGAAGAATATCCTGGTTTTTAAACAAGCATCCATTTCTCCTAGATTGCAATGGCTGTTCAAAATGGCCTAGAATCTCATCCAAAGTTGAGACACTGCAAAGCCTGGAAAGAGCAATAGCTAAAACCCAAGATAAAAGACCCCTAAGAGGCTCCACTTTCAGCTGACATTATTCCACTTACATACCATCCTTTCAACATTACACTTAAGAAAATTAGTACCATCCAAACCTTGATAATGGAAAGACAATCAAGCAACACTGTAGATGCTATAACAAGGTCTTCAAGGAGTGATAAATACAGCTAAGGTCTATTTGTCTGACAGTTTGGCCTGTGAACACAAGTAATTCCAACCAATATACATATAACAAAGAAACACTATAGAACCCAGAATATGTCCCTGAGGGATACCAGATGACACTGAAGATACCAGAGATCAAAGCAATAAATTTTACAAAATAAGAAAAAGAGTACAATTATATCTGATGGTTGAAAGAGTCAAATGCCACATTGAAGTTCAAAAGCAGCAGGCAAACACAGTAATAACCCTGCTGTCTGTATGTCCACATACACATTATTTGGATAGCTTTCAGAGAAAGAGAAAAATAAAACTCAAATTACATATATAGCTTATCTGCAGAGCTGTTTGCACTAAACTTTGACCGAAATGACAGTGCAAAGGAAAAGTTCTTGATTTTCAATGGACGTTACTTTTGCTGCCATAATTCCCTCCTACAGCAGCCACCTTTCTTAAAAGATAAAAAGCATCTCCCACTTTCATTTGAGTAATAAAGTAGATATGATGATCAGATAGACAGCTAAAAGGAAAAAATGTGAAAGAAATAAAATCACAGAACAGACATAACAAGACAAGACATGGCATTTGATGTAATCAAACCACAGTTACTTTGCTAGTTACTCCTCCACTTTACCTATCCTTCATCTGTGCACTGCCATCCTAGCTTATAAAATCTTTACCAAATGAAATTCATTTTCAGACTTGTCAAAAATGTCAGTAATAGACAAACATCAATTTTATGAAGGTGTTGAAATGCACCAAAACTTTTGAAATTTTCACAAAAGCTAGCTGGCAAATACAAAGAAATTTCCAATAAATTGGAGTTTGTAAAATTCAAGTTTAAATACATTTTAATGTCCATATTTTATGAAGAGAACCAAATATGGTAAGTGATAGTGAAATGGTAATTCTGAAGTATAACTGCAGAAACCTTCAGCAATCAAGTAATCCCTGCTTACAATGGCTGGTTTTGGTCAGGGGCTGCAAATACATTGTAATTATGTTATTAAACTCTTTGGGGTTTTGAATGTTGCCCAACATTGGAACAAAGACCTTTCTAAGCATTCTAGGCAAACACACGAGACAGAGAAATAAATTTGCAGGAAATCTGATCACCCAGCAAACAGCCTTGTCACACCCATTTGGCTAGAGAGAGCCTGAGATTGCATCCTGGAACCTCCTGGGTGTAGGAGGCCCAGAGTTAAGACTCTGTTCCAAATCATATGGGATGGAGAACTGACTCTGAATCTCTCACATCTTGGTGGTGGCAGTGTCTCTCCACCAGACAATCTGCCCAGAACATGAGAAATCCTTGTCATAGAAAATTTCGGGTTGGGGAAATCTGTTTTTACAGGAAGATTTTATTTTTGGCAATTTAGCATTTTTGTGAGAAAATGACCAGTTAAAATTAAACCCAAATAGCAGAAAAAAATTCTTCCATGGACACCATCTAATTATTATATGGAAAAAAATGATTAAATGCTAATAACAATGCTAGCACTAAACAGAGTATTTAAATTTAGGGTAAAAAGAAATAACAGATGGAACAGAGATATATGTAGAGCTCTTACATTCATATATTCATCTACTTATGAATATATTAGCATCTGACTCACAAATAAAACATATTGAAATAGTCACAGCAACATTATCTACCAAAAAAGTCCATCATGAATTTTTTCATGTTGCCATTTATAAATGTAAGCTTGCTTAAAAATCAGGTTTTTAAAAAATTATTGATTCTTTCTGTGCAATTAGGAAAAGGGAAAGGCTTTTCTGGTTAGCAGATTCAGTCCTGTACCACTGCCATCAATAAAACTCTTGCCATCAACTTCAATGAGAAAAGAATTATACCCTGTGTTAGCTTTCAGCAATTACATTGACATTATCAGTGATTTACTGAGTGGTATTTCAAACATGATACCATATGTCAGCTGATACCAAGCAAGCCTGAGTGAGAAAGTTCTGATCATAACCACTTGGTTAATAAATATCACAG